ACGCAGCATGCACACCAGACTCGGCCCCCCCACACCACCACTTGTTCCGGCCAATGAAGCAGCACCTCGCCGTGGTGGTTAAACAGTTCAGGACGTCGACGGCTTTATTGTCTCGATGCCTGCAAATTTCATTCCCTACGGCATTCGAACGCTACCTCAGAGATGGTGCAAGATCATAGAAAACGATGGACAATGTTGCCAAGATTAGGTTCGTTGTTCTCCATTTTGTATAGTAAATAAATTTGCTGAAGAGTCCGTAAAAATTAAGTCATACACCAAATAAAAAAAGTAAAATTTCACAAAGGGGTTTAAGACTAGCAGTGAATACACGGATACAGGGTCCTGTACTTGAGTAATTCGGCGCAAGCGAGGCAGAGAAACTTAGGGGGCGGGGGGAAAACGCAAGCAAAGGAAAAGACCAAGTCAAACCTACAGTGAAGCCTGAATAGGGGAGCCACGAGGTTACAAAAGCGGGCGAGTTGGAGCAGAGGCGGAGGATTGTCGAGGAACGATGTGAATATGAGCTCCAGGACGGGAACCAAACGAAGAATCAGGTGATCATAGTAGACGGGTTGACAGGGGTATCGCCGGAGGACTGTCGACGACCCAGAAGAGTCGGCAGGAGGACGATTAATCGCCTGTTTCTCGGGCAAGATTTCGTGAAGGCGCTTTAGTAATTTTGGCCAACGGTGGCTTGAGATGATTTCTGGTGAATTAGGGGCCTGCAAATGGTTTTTTTTTGTAAAAACAAAGTGAAAAGAATGCGTTATTAACATCGACTACGAAAACTGGTAAATGAGTTAATCAAAGTTGGACGTAGAGATTTATCGGAAAACCGAGGTCAATGCTAACGAGGCAGGAGTAGCCACGGAGAGCGTCTTGTAGGTGACTAACCATGATGGAACCAAAACTTATCATTGAGCAAAGGAACATGCTTATTGCATTACTGCATAAGTGCCCAAAACTACACAGAGTAAAAAGTTGGCCATTTTGGTGGTGGCAGCAAATAGTTATGACTACACGAGCTTTTCTATCCAGTTTACTAAAACTAAAAAAGTAGAAAAAATCGTGACTCTAAGCACCTTAAATAAGTTTTAACCACGCGTTAAAAGCGTGAATACTTGAAATTAACTTAAGTTGAGAAGATTTAGCAGATTGAAACCTCGTGTAATTGGCCGGTGGCTTCTATGTTCAAAAGAACAGACAGAACCAAAGGCAACTCGACTCACAGGTTAGCTAGTTCAGTCGTGATTCTAAACGTGATATGCCGGACGAAAAACGGGGTAAATCGGGCAGTAAAACGAAGGACAAGGACAAAGGGGGCTGTTTGACCTCGTGAAACACGTGTTCCACTGCATGGCAGGATCACCTGTAGCTGGGAACTTACGAAATTAGCGACTGCATTGATGGCTTCGACGAGTTGAGGGCATTGAGTAAAGAGGAAGATTGCTATGCTGTGGGCTGCGGCCACGTCAACTGGCGATTGGTTCGAACGAACAAACTAAAACAAAGGAAACAAACTGCAACCATTCGGTCTGCTTTCGCATCAACCTCTGATTTTCAAAATTACCAAATTACTAGTGTGCATAATCACTTTCTTGTAGTTATACAGGGGTACAAAAAATCATCCTAGTGACAGAACACGACACAACCGAACCTATAATCATGAGAACAAAATTAGAGTGTGTGAAGCGACAAAAAAGAAAAAAAAACTAATCCATTTATTTGACACGTCTCAACATGGAATCACCCTTTGGAAGTCAAATCGAGATCCGATTCTTCGAAAAATGAGGGTTTGGGGTGTTGGATAGTGTTCTGTGTTTAGAATACACAGCAGACGATAATTATTTTGAGTGACTGCGTCTTTTGGTGACATTAGGCAACTCTGCAATTCCTTTTGTGATTCTGCTTAACAAGGAATGTCCGCATTGAGAACTTGACAAAACTTTATTGTGAAATGATAAGAAAGAAGGGAATCACAGCGAAAAGTATTATCTCTTTAGAGGTAGGAGCTTGTCTCCTATATTTCTTGCTCAGTATTAATTATATAAACTAAAACTACTAAAGTTGCAGCCAGTGGTTGCGGCTGGGGTTTTGTGCAAACGATAACTCCCAATGATAGTTATAAAGGCCTACGCAGACTGAAGCTTTGATCGACCCACAGAGTGCTTTTGTTTTGATTTATCGCGAAATTTGAGATGACGGCTTAGCAGGTTGGTTTAACACTTGTTGAAACTATAAAGCAGACATTCAAACTTACAAGGTACAAGAGAAGACGGTCCATTGTAATGATATGGTATTGCACACAAAACGTTAGAAGAGCAGAAAGTAACTAAAGCGGAAGAAAAATCGGGCAATGCTGATGGGGCGTTGTGTGTGGCATTGAGTGCACAAGAGAAGGGAGCAAATCGGGCGTCTACTCACCGCACTGGGTGTCGGGAGGTGGGCGGGTGGGCACAGGCCTCGTCGGTCGAGTTCCTCGAACTTGCAGATCGCCGCAATGAGGTATTCACAAAGAACCTTCAACTGAGCATTCACCGTTGCCGGTGACAACTGTAAAATGTTGCTAAAGAAGAAGTGGAGGTGTATGCACCAACGGTGGCTGGGCCATAAAACGCCCACAGCAGACACAGAATGGTGGTGTGGTTTGACGGTTTCAGGGCCAAGTAAAAAATTGTGCTTTAAATTGCTCACTCCCATGCAAATGAGTGTGGCAGGAATTAGAAGATCCACGTTAAATATGAGCTTAGAGTGTCTAATGGACTCACTTGATGAGAGCCCATGGAAGCCCCGAGTGACCGTTGAGAATAGCGGTGATGATAACGCTGCGTGCAAAGAGATGGGGTGTGTGTGAAAACGCAACAGAAAAAGCGACCAATGGCGCTAAGAGAGAACTTACCAGAAACACCGTTCACCCTGAAGAGACAGCTCATCCCAGGCTATTTCTCCACCTTAAGGAATGAAATACCGCAAGATAGCATACGGGGGCGAAACGAAACTTTTATACCCAAGTAGGCTGAACTAATTTCCATCGCCCATCGAACCGCAAAGGGCTGGAAATTAATCCTAGGGTCTATATATGTGCAGGAAGGGAGCCACACAAGCAAGCAGCATAATCCATACCTGCTTCAGGGACCAAGGATTTGAAGAGTTCGTAGACGGAGATGAGAAGACGATCACGCAGAGACGCGTAGTTCTCCGGTTCACCATCGCCTGCTGCAGGTTCGAGGGACTCGAAGATGGGCGCCTGAGCCAACGCAGAGGAGCCGTCCGGCGGAAGGACGGTTTCGTTGGCGCAGAAGCCGAAGAACGACGTGGTTCCGAAGCTCGACGAGGGAAGCAGATCGGTGAGACGACGCGAGATGATGGACGGCAGGAGGAGGCGAGCAGTGTCCACGCCGAAAACGGCCCTCGTCTCGGTGCGAACAGTCATCAACTGTTGCTCGATGATGCAACGAACACTGCCGACATCCAGGAGATCTAAAGGCACCCACAAACGGCTATGGAGACAGTGCACGCGACGGATTCAAACAACACATGACAAAGGGCAGCTTTGGGCAAAGTAAAAGTTCATTTCAAATTTGACACAAAACTAGCCAGGAATATGTAGTATGCCACCCAACGAAAGCCTATGAGGATAAACGAGTAGACTGCGGCATACCAAAAGCAGAGACAGCTTGAAGCGTCGAAAGCAAGATGACGCGAGAGGTCACTTCACGGGGATGGATCAGGTGCTGGGACTTCAGCGCGGGTGGAGAGGGGCTGGTGTCGTTTGGCATCGACTTCGACATCGTGTACAATATGCAGTCGGGCGTCAGGATGCGACGAGAGAATCGAACAATGGTCCAGTCGAGTCTAAACAAAAACAACAACAGAGAAAGCTGATAGCACGACTGAGCATTGCTAAAAAGGTCCATCTGTCCCTTGGTCATTGACACCTCATCTGTGTGATGAACTGTTCAGAAAACCTAAGCTTGTGTATGGCAGACAGACACAGCCGCATAACTGCTTGCTGTGCCTTTGTTTTTTCCTGACCAATAATAAATCAAACAAATCAGTATTTCAACATTACTTCATTCAACGAGAATTGATGCAGATAAATGCTTGTAGGCTTGTAAACGAAGTCAACCAGTGAATGGTCCAATCCAGGAAATTGCCATCTAATTGACGAGGTATCACAAAAAGCGGGCTAATTTCAGCATTATTGAGCAGGAAGACAACGTCTTGTGGGTACTGAATAGTGCAACGAATCAGATGGCTGAACATTGAATTCGAGAATTTCAAAGTTACCACCACAGAATTTGCTGTAACCGACGAAACGACACAACTTAGACTTCTAGAAAAAGCGAGCTACAGCCGCGACAGACAGGCATGAAATAGATCTGTAGTGAAGTGTATTGATTCACGCCAGCTAATCTGATTGCTCCAATCTGAGACACACTGTCCCCCAGTTCGGTCACGGGGAACCGTCTGCTTCTACAGACTTCGGTGCATGTGAGGCCTCCCTTTCTGACAGTTCAGTTACTTGTGCGTTAACTAGTCCACCCACACTATTGGTCAACAACTACATTAGGGGTGCATTGCTGCGAGCGCACGCACTCATACAACACAACTTCGCTGAGCTGTCTAGCAAGCGACCGTGTCTCCGCCGTCTCCGGGTCTTCTGCTTGTCTTCTCGGGTATGTGAGTAGCGTAAACGAGTCAATTCTAATCAACAGCGCACAAAAATGAAGAATTTGCCTACGTGTAAACGAGCTCCTGGGACTCCAGCTCAACTTTGTGAAAGAGATCGTCGCGGTAGCTGAGGCGATGCTCCGCAGGCAGGGCCTCAACCAGCCGATGGCCGAGCAGGTCGAACCAGAACGTGAAGGCGTAGAAATCGTCATTGTTGGGCATGGATTTGGGAAGTTCTGTAGCCTCGGGTCCGGCCACCTCGTCGTGGTACAATGGAATGTCAACCTGGCCCTTTATTTGCAGCATTCGTTTGTAGATTTCTGAAATAAAGATGAGAGACCGCAAGTGTTGAGTTTTAGAGCTATGACGCTTCGATAGATCCCTCTCTATAAGCTCACGGTTACGGAAAAACTTGTGTGATTTTTGGTGATTTTGATAAGCACAAAATCCCGTTTAAAGTACTCGAATTTTGACCTCTGACCACTGGCTCAAGTGTGGTGCCTTGCTTATTTCTGTGAACATTTCCACAGCGCAAGGTGACAGGGACGCAAATGATTGCCCCTTTGTTGAAATTAAAAGAGAAAGGACAACATGAATTTGAGCCAATTGTCCCACACTTGGCCCAGTGTCAAAGGGTTGGGGGTTGGCACTCAAAAGCATTTTTATCACCATTTTCGTGTGCTTTGTTTGGAAAGCAAATTATTTATACTTCAAGATAAACAGTAATGGCTTACTCGATTATTTAGTTGTTTTTTTACTTCTGGCATTTTGACATAGCTTTGCTTTTAACTTGAGATCATGGTAACGAAGCCATGGACGCGGTCAACTGAGATGCCATTACCAAGCTAGCGGTAGAGGGAGAATATTTGGCCAAATGTAAGAGGGGCAAAAACGAGTACCCCGGGACTTGGATTGACAAATACTTCGAAACAAAAAGACCAAACTTCTGGCCAAACGAAGTCAGTAAATTGGTGAGACCGCGGGAGGAAGTCGTGAATAATGGCACAAGTGATTGGTATGTCCACGTGGTTATTGAAATTTCTTTACGAATAACATGCACCAATCCAAAACCAGGGAATCGATAAGGCAATGCCATGGCCAGAGTTAACGGGAAAATCAACAGGAATCGAAATCCATTGGCTGTGCTGACTTTTTTCCAGGAGGTCAACAAGAAGAAACCCAAACTTTGTGAGGATTCATTGGTGAGCGATATTTAACTGTCGAATGTAAGAACCTTGTTTGAAAATGTGCGCTCAAATTTGGTTTTCATCTGTTACTTTGAAAAAGATAAATGACGTGTTTCGATAAATATGTCGAAATTGGATTTCGCTGTGTCCGGACTACGGAACCACAAAGAAGAGTGACTCACGAAGGATGGGGATGATGAGATTCTTCTCCACTTGGTAGGAAAGGAAGCGACTGAAGGTCTCCAATGTGGCAGGAGACGTGAGACACGCCGTCCCGGGCTCAGGGCAGGGTGGTTTCGTCATTTCGTTTAACTTCTGTCGCATTTCATTGCAAAAGCTGAAACAGACGGTGGCAGGGTGGTTATCATTTTGGGTACAACTTGTCGATTCAGTGACCTACATACTGCCAACCCCAGGTCTAGGCTTGTGGCTTTTCTGCATTGGAAGACAACGAAGGTCTTATTTTTAAGAATTCAATGTACCTTTGTGCAGCAAAATTCAACTTAGTAAGTAGAAATATTACACACAGTGAGGCGAAGAGAAGGAATCGACACCCATGGGAATCGCATAATTTATGAGAAGTGAAACCTAGATGAAGAACCGGTTAACCGAGTTTTTTTTTAAAAAGACACTGTTAAATCTTAACAAGACCACGCGACGATTAAATGTGCACTTAAATATGGTCTGTTTGAATTGAAGATCCTGTCAAAATTAGATGGACTCATCAAATGTAGATCCTTCCACGTAAAGGAAACAGATAGACTTCTAAGACTGGATTAGACAATTCCAGAGTTACAACTCCGGGTTTCTCCGTGAGTAGCTCTGGAGGATGAAGTCCTCTAACCAACCCTCAACAAACATAACATATACGCCACTCAAAAACGCCGACAACTCAAAATCGTATGGACTCTTGACTCAAGACTGGGAAAGCGATAAGAGCAATGCAAACTCCACCAAACGTACATCATCTGGAGGTGAACTGACATCTTGCGAATGAGGCGGTGCGAGAGAGGTTTCAGGCGGCCAGCTCCACTCAATCCGTAGGGCAGCGTGAAGGTCCCGTTGTTGAGTGGGAGACCTCCGCCGATTCCCGGAACGTGCTCGTTGTTTGGCAACCAAAATGCGTTCACCACACTCCGGGTGATCTTCTGCGAGTTTTCGTTCGGTGAGTCTGCAAATCGGGGGAATCGGTTGGTCATGGTCATCATGGAATGAACGACATTAGGGCGCGCGATTCTTAGCGGCCAGAACAAGTGACACAGGAGAATATGGGTGTGCTAAGTGGAATCTCCTCTTTAAGATGAGCGCATCGCGATAAATTTGAAGTAAAATCCCTTTGAACAAGCCAAAATCCGCCATTTGATTTGCAAGAGCCTGACCTATATACGAGATGCTCCCAATAAATTCAAATAATGAAAACCCCAATTCTATAACCATTGACCTCGGTTAGGAAAATCATAACATGTAATTTTGTCCTGTAGTCTCGGATTGGTTCAAGAGAATACTAATTGAGGGATAGTCAGAGCCGACAACTGACAATGTGAATTGGGCAGTGGTTTAAAAGACGCATCGACCGCATATTTGGTTGAGAAAACATAGGTATGCATAAGAGCCATGGATTATGCAAGTTCTTGAGCAAACAAGATGGCCAATTCTGAAGCTAAATTAGGTCAAACGAAGACATTGACCAACCACAGAACACAAACCCGATAACGGCTATCCCAGGATAATGCAGGACGCCGCTAATCGGACCCCACAGATTCGTAGTCGAAAATGGTAGTCAAAGCTAGATTCTTTAGCGAAAAACAAGAGACCTTGATTTGAGATTTAAGTGCAATAAATTAGAACAGCTGAGAGCACTTTCATCCTACATGTGTTCAAGGTAACGATGAACTCCAACCACGACATCCGCTCTACGGACGCCGACGACTGCGAATCAGGTGCAGTGTCTCCAGACTCTGTGAGGCTGGAATTGTCCTGGCCACAGGCGTCTTTGAGCTGCTCCAACCAATCAGAAATCTGCAACTGAAGGGGGTAGAGGAGGGGAGGCATGGGGCGGGGCAGGTGGCCGTCCTTGACGCAGCCTCCGGTAGACCCGACTCCCGACTGGCCCCGAACGGTTGTCTCGTCCGCACTGTTCATCTGCAGCACCACCTCCCAGGCGCACACGACTGCCGCGACCAGGTGCGTCAGGTCCTCGTCTTGCGTCAACTTTGGCTTTTTCGCAGCTGAAAAGGGAAAAAGTGGAAGAAAATGATGTTTTCCCATAAAACTAGTGCCCAAGTAAACGTTAACGGAGTTGTCTAGTGGCCACTGAGTAGTCGAAGCTAAATATTTCGTAAAACCCAATGAATAGTCATCAGTTGCGAAGATGGAGGGAGCTTCGAGGCTGGCGGATTTGTCGTCCAAGTGACGGCTCTCAACACTGGAATATCACACAAAACTGACAGAGACCTATCAGGCCCCTGAATCGACTTGAAGACCATGAACGTTTACGTCAATTCTGTTGAAAGCATTAAAAGTGTGTTCGGATCCCATGGCAAGACAGCTATCCGCTAAGAGCCCAATAGAAGGGCGGATAGTGGCGTTTGTGTGGGTGCTGATGCACTGATGCACTAAACTAACACGCTGAAGTGCTGGTAAATGCACTTGCCAAATAAAAAAACAGCTTTTCGCAAACCCGACGCTTTTTTGCGGGTCCCTGAAATGGTGTGTAAGAAGCTCAGGCTGAAATCCATTCCAGACAAACACTAAAACAACGCTAGAAACGCCAACAACTCACGAATCGGACCATCCTCACCGGCCTCTAAGTCCTCATCATCACTGCTGTCGCTGCTACTGGTGTAGTCGCAGACGGCGTCGATGGCTGCGGTGCCGTGCGACGTCTGGTCGCGCGAAGAGCCGCCTTGATCTTCCTCCGCGGAGTCAGTGTCTGGGACTCCGAAGAGCCTGTCTGGGGAGAAGATGATGAACCGCCTGTCGGGGTCTTTGGCCATTGTTTCCAAGGTGTCCAGGGTGATGAGATCGCCCCTCCTAATCCAACACTCGGTATCTTCCTTTTCCAGCTTCTTGAGACGCCCCATCGCGGCGTTGTCTAACTCGTCGGATTCGGGGAAAAGGTGGTCGTAGAGACGCAAACAGGAGACGAAATCGGACAACTACATGGTGAAGCAACGATTGCGAGCTACAATTAATTACTCCCTTAGTTTTGTACCGTCCCTCAGACTACGCGACCAAAACACATCACACCCGTGTCCCTTGTAAACACAACTGCAATCGGCACAAATTACCACACTCTAGATTTGTCAAACACTGACACCATAATGGACTAGTTATTAAAATTTGGCTTAAATTAGATGCCAGTACGGCCTGCATGAATCGACATAAAACTGGAGCCCGTCCAGGTGTGAATAAGCAGCCCCTTTTCAGGGCCCATACACCGAAGTCATAGGGAAGTTAAGTAACGAACCTTATTTTTTCCAACAAATCCTGACATGCAAACCAGGGTGAACCACATGACGAAGTACCGCGAGACAGGCCAGAATCTTCCGACGATCTGACCGAAAAAGGGAAAAAGGGGGGTTAAGCAGAGCGAGAGGCACGTGAAAGCAAATCAGCAGATGGAAAGTGCCATTGTGGTGTGTGAAAGGGATACCGGTGAGAAGCGAGTTGATTTGCATTTAGGGTGGCTTAAAAGCGCGACACATCACACATTGCAAGTTAGATAAGTCGTTCAAATTATTATGCATCAATTTGATTTGTAAGAATCTAAATGAACGGAACCATTCTAGTCCACAATTCCAGCTGACCCAGCGGCACAAGTGCGTGTGTGTGTGTGAGAGAGAGTGCGAGCTACAGTAAGCGAGGGCTTATGGAACCATTCAACAGACCTTCGAGTTGAGTTTCGTGATGATATCGTCGAGACGGACTATCCGGTCGACAACGAAGCAAATCACGAGGTCGGCCAAGTGACCGAACACCTTTATGGTCCAGTCTGTGCGCTTCTCCGCCTCGGTAATTTCCATTACGGAGAAAATCAACTCGCTGATCGCCAGCCCCACGGGAGTCATGAGCGGTCCCTGAAACCGGGCAAACAAAGCGTTTTAAGAGTGCATGATGGCGCGAAGTCTATGGGCTACCAAAATGTGATGCTAGCGTTTACTGATAGGCGTAAATCCTTTCTCCAACCACCTATACATCTGGTTTGAGGTTAATAGTCACCTTCAGTTAGATATCACGATGCATTTCTCAGCACGAAAACTACTTTATTCAAGATCTGAGACCGCCCTGCTTGGTCAATATCAAGAAACATGAAAATGTAACAGCTTCAAACGCCTTAAATGGCGTTTTTCTGTGTGAGAACGTAATGGAGACTAGTCAGCAAAGGCCATCGCAAGACGTAAGTCCTTCATCGGTCGCCAGTTCCGTTGGAAACTGGACCTGAAGCTAAAGCGACAAACGCCGAATTTCAACGCCGACAAAGTCTAACCATGGCTTGGCGTTCGTCGCAGGCAAGTAGACCGGAAGCGAGTTGGGTGCAACGCAGCTGCCCCAAAAGGCTGCACGCCAGCGACAGCTGTCGGGTCTTGAAAGCAGGGGGGTAGAGCTTTGCCTGTCGAATCATCGACAGCGTGAGCTGCGCGCGATCCAGTCGGAAGCCCGGATGGGTGTCCAGCGTTATACCGGCAAATGGCACCATATCCAGCTCATCTAAAGGGGATTAGGAAATAGTCCTTTCCAAATAAGCTCACCGTTTCATAACGAACTAAGGCACACATTCTGCCAAGTCTGCGTGCCTTTCTTCACTTCCCCCTTCCAAAAATGATCGTCAAAGCAGAGTTTGCGTAAACCGTGGCTTTTTTTCGTCGAGCTCAAAATTATATTTAAAATAGAAATATGTTCGTGGTCTTTCGTGGTTTTGAAAGGATCCGATACAAGGCTTCACAACACCGCACGGCGAGTCCACGTGAGTTGCATAACCTCACAATAGCAGAGTTTATGGTGGCAACTGATAAACAGCACTTTCAATGGTACTGCATTTTACACGATTTCCAAATGGGAAAAAATACTTCTAAAGCACGGCAATCAATTTGCAGTGTTCTTGGTGTCCACGTTGTGTCTTATGAAACGAGCACTCATTGGTAAAAACCTTATAGAAGTGGTGTTTTCGGTCTTAGTGACCAGTCGCGTCTCGGAGAGCAGCCCCGAAACATCGAAGATGCGCAATTCCAGGCTCTGCTAAATTAAGACTCAACCTAAACGAAACATGACCTTGCAGCTCAGTCACGAGTCACCTAAACACCTATTCCCATGCGCTTGCACCAAATGCCAACAAATCAACTACTTGGAAGTTGGGTCCCCCAACATGTGTTGATCGAACACAACCCACGTCAACGTATGAATACATGCTTTCCCAGCTGGCCCACCGGCAACAACCAGTGAATGGACTTCTTGCGGAAATTGAGACGGTTGATGACAAGTATATTTTCTGTTTTGAGAATCTCAAGCGCAAACGTCGTGGTTGGATCCCAATACACCGACGCCGGAACTGGACATCCACTTAAAAGAAGAAGGTTCTCTCGTTTATCTGTCGC